AGTATGCTAGTATGCTAGTATGCTAGTATGCTAGTAGCTAGTATGCTAGTATGCTAGTATGCTAGTATAGTAGTATGCTAGTATGCTAGTAGCTAGTATGCTAGTAGCTAGACTCTATGTACGGCTCTGGTTAGTCGCGTCAGTATATGTCAGTATGACGTCGGTGGCTATCTATACACCATAGTCCATAGATAGTGTTTGGGATACCATAAATAGTATATAAGATAGCCGAGTCGGTATATAGTTTGTGTTCGGGTTAGGGTGTTGTTATGGTTAGGGTTAAGGTTTTTGCATCATTCTTTGATATACGGAAAGTCTGATGCGGAAGTTGATATGCGTAGTATGAATATGACCATGCGCAACCAACCACCAGCACCATCAGCAGGCTGTATGCATTCAACTTCGGAGATAGCCGAGTTCGTGCGTGACGTCAGTGTACGTCACGAGCATACTTTGGTTCATGGAAACATATGCCGACCGAGCCGGGAAGCCTACCTAGCTTTTACATCTGAAGAAGATGGCGGCGGCGATGATGAGCAGCACCAGCACCTGCATGATGAGGACGCCGATGATGATGCCGTCGAAGACCCTGTAGGAGTACTCGAGCGACCGCAGCGCACAGAACATGTCGTCTTGTCTGCAGTCGTACATTGCTCCCTGCACCCTGTTGTGCGAAAACCGCGAGAGAAAACCGTGAGAAAACCGTGAGAAAACCGTGAGTGAAGCGTGAGAGATACGTGAGTGGAATCGTAGGTAAAACGGGGGAGCTACGTGAGAGAAGCGTGAGAGATGCGTGAGCGAACCCGTAAATACTTCGCTCCCGTCACCCTGCACGAAAACCGTGAGCGAGTAAAACGCGAGGGATGCTATACTGCAACCTATGACGAGAATCTTAGAAGCACGTGTTTACAGCGTGGCCGGCAACGTTGTAGTCCGTAGCACAATAAGAAAATCCCCCCAGCCTGCAACATAAACTTGTATTCTTTAGCCGGCCGTTTCCCTGTAGCGGGAGCGAAGGGACTACACCGGTAGAGCTAGAGTCGCTATGCTATGTAGGTCGTTCTATAAAGCGAGTCACTCTACATACAATGACTGTGGTCCTATCGTACTACCATCACCTGTTACGTTACACCTCACTCTACCCAGGGCCGTATTCTGCTGGGAGCAGCTGCCCCCCTAGATTTTAGAGCAAAGTAAAAAAAATTATTGTTCTACTAAAAGGGAATTGTCGTAGTCAGAATGAAGGCTGTACATGTACTCAAAACTGCCTCAAATACCATCTCCTGCGATCTACATTTTCAAAATTTTCTGTGGGAGGGCCCCCAGACCCCCCCCCACCTTTTTCTCACCCCCTTCTTTAAATCCTGGATCCGCCACTGCCCCCCTAGGAATTTGCTCAGCCTACCGCCCTGCGCTTGATGGCAGATGCCGCGATGCTACACCGTTACAGCTACGTCACACCACAATGTTTCACACGCTCGCAATGTCTATATGATATCTATTACTATGTTTCAGTATTATAGTATATATACAATGTATTACATGTCACGATTATCACGAATGTTTTACATTGTACTGGGAGCAAACATGCCGGTGCAATGCAGTGTCAATGCGTTCGCAGTTTCATTTATTGAACTTCGACGATACAATAATTATACGCTACCAATACAGAGCCTAAAGATACAATAGAGAACAATATTTAAAAAAATAATAAGTGGGTATTAATAATTATTGTAAATATATTATTACCATTTTATATTGATAAGTAAAATTCTATTGTATCTTGAGATATATATTACTATCGTATTATCTTGAGATCCTTGCTATAATGCTTAAAGTAATTAGTTATTATGTACGTACGTTAATTTTGTAATTATGAGATCGTAATTATATATATATATATATTCAAACATTTCATATTCGCTCTATAACCAGATATACTATTAGTATTATGTGATTTACATACTCCAACTTCAGTCGGTAATTGGAGATATCATTGAGCCCTGATGCATTTTCTATGTAAGATTATGAAGCATTTCGAAGACTGCTACGTGAATTACAAACATAGCCAAACTCCACAGGCTTGAATACGTACATTTTTGCGGTGGTTTTCTCCGCTGCTATAGTTCACTGATATCGCTGCTAATGTAGACTGCGGACGAAAGCAGGCAAGGATTGCGTTCGTCTGTTCGCGTACCGTAAAACAAATTATTCTAGCGAAGTAATGGTCGAAATGAGCTGGTTACAATCGCCCTCTCCCGTACGGTTAATGCGGTCGACAACGTATGCATTTGTTTGTGGCTGTGTCAAAGGTTGCATGCACAGTATGTACATCCGCCATTCGTTAATAAACATGTACAGGACTGTGCGCCGTGGGCCGTTAGACTTGCTATATATTATATAGCATACATTTGAGATGTGTCAGGCTATTTACTCATGGCTATGCTGGGCACGATGTTATGTTAGACGAGTATTATTACAGCAGAGTGAGTTTAGAAAGTAATGACGAATGAAATAGTATTCATATCCGAGGATTTTACATCAGCAATTGCACATTGTCTCAATAGCCGCAATCTAGAAATTGCGAGAGAGGGGACCTTGGGATGCGCATTGGGGAAAGGTTGGAGAAAACTCCGACATTATGTATTTTTTCATAGAATACTGTGTGAAATCTTATGAATTTTGACCGTAATATCGTTTATGTTGAAGTACGCTGTTTTACCGTTAACTGATGCGAATTTTTTGATGCGTGAACCCGTGTGTGCGTGTGCTTGTGTGTAGGTATACATGCATGCCTGCGTGCTTGCGTTATATTTTTAATTAATTTATTCTATTTGCTCGTCGAAATGACGAAATGTTCGTCATATAGACCTACTGAAAAATTGAACTGCTTTCCTAAACGGGGCTTTTGACATATGAATTATGAGATTAAAATCTCGTCGAATACATAAACCATTTGCGTTAATGATCTCATTATCGTCGGGCCTATGATAATTATGCAATTTAATAAAATAAAATCTTCGTAATAGTTGTATTTAAACCTTCGAAAATCCGTACGAAAAATACTTTTTAACGATTAATTTCCTGTGTGATGCAAATCCAACACACTGCGGCTTCAATACATTATAGCAAACGCAATTCACGTATACTAGGTGCTGATTCCTCGTGGCGCGTTCCGACATTTCTATACGGACAATACGTTCAATTCGGGGAGCATACCTACAAAGAATTCTACTAATTAATCTACAAAAAAGTCGCCAACAGTGTACTTTTGTTGGGTGGTGGAGATCGTTGAGGCATTGTAGTGATGCGTGATTGTACCCCAACATCACTGGACGTGATGCGGCCATGATGCCAAGGCGCGCCGAAGATTGACACTTTGTGTCTTCCAATCACAGCATACGCTTCTTATGTGCTTCTAAGTGTGACTACACGATTGCGTTGGGTGTACTATACATTGCATTTATAAAGTTAGGATTAATAATAGCAGAGTATATAGTTTTATTAGTTACGAGCGGCAATCGAGTGCTCAACTCATTTTAAATTAATAAAAAGATTAAGTTAAAGCTGTACAGATATTCCACTTATAGGAAAGTTTTGTATTGTCGACATGCAGTTTTTGTGTTCGTTTGTCCGTTTTTACTGTGAATTTAATTACGTGTGGTAAATATATGTCGAAAATTTATCAAGATAGAGAATGGGTACAAATCGTCTTTGTATTGGCGATATATCGCAGAGAGATTTGAATTGATATTGTGATTAAATTGGTCTTGTAGATAAATGATTATTGAAAGCCGACATCACGATGGCTTGATCATCACGTTTTCTAAATCTACGTAGATATCTAGAACTGATCAGTCCAAGATTTTGCCAGTAAAATTATGTGCTAGTTATATACTTGCTATTAAGTACTTATTACGCATTCTATCTTTATTTGTATTGTAGCTCTTTTCTAGTGTATTATGACAGAAATTGCTTGTACTTTCTTTCATACATTTTTATTAAATTCGCTTACTCTACCTAATTCTATTATTGCTGTCTGTTCCGTTTCATACATTTATTAACATTCGTTGATGATAACATTTTATGAAAAGACGGAGCAAAGTGTTACGGGATGCACTTCTATCAATTTTCGTATAAAATATTTTGAAGATGTCAGTATATAAATATATCTCGAAATTTTATAGATAGATGTCAAAATTTTATTCAACAGTCAGATGTTGTTAGATATAAACTTTGCGGCGATCACGCCCATGTTATTTTGTATCTTATAATGGATTTATAGCGATACATAGACTCGCATGACATTTTTCGTGGCATCGGACAAAACTTACGGTACGTTTTTAGCTCATCTGACGTAGAGATTCTGACACGAAACGAACAACGAACTGGGTTTGGAAATTAATAGTGTTTCAACCGTTGGACATTAATACAATTAATGTAACTCGTAACACAACGCAAGGATTGTACATTACAACTGCGACCATACCTAATACTCCACTTCACTTCTATTTACAAACGAAACAACTCGCGAGTGAAATTGGCTGTCGTACGTGAAACAAAAAAATCACGACGGGTTGTTGTTACTTGACCGCTTAGTTGTCGTAGGATTTTGCCTCGGTCTGTCCTTGATTTGTCATATTGATGTTTTCCTCACGAGTGTCCTCTGAGGGTGCTCTGGAATGACAAATTTAGCTGACTTCGTGGTTACTGTATATAAAATAAACACAAATTGTAACGAAACATTGTCTTAAAACTACAAGATTTACCCTATACCTTTTCAACGTAGAGGATTCGGCCCCATACACGCACAGACTCGTACGCACGCATGCACACACGCACGCGTACATGTATATCATATTTACCCTATACCTTTTCAACGTAGAGGATTCGGCCCCATACACGCACAGACTCGTACGCACGCATGCACACACGCACGCGTACATGTATATCAATTAAAACGTTATAGTTAAGTTGTTTAACACGCCTATCAGTGTGTTTTGATATCTAAACAACTTTCAAGACGAGTCCGAAATCTCGGCTCGTCAGCGGACCGAATTGTAATATTTAAAATCAATTCTTCCTATATATATATGGGTGCGCGTGCATGTATGTGTTTGTGCGTGCGTGCGTGCGTGTGTTGTTTGTTTGTGCGTGTGTGTTTGTGAGTGCATGCGTGTGCGTGTGTGTGTTTGTGAGTGCATGCGTGTGCGTGTGTGTGTTTGTGGGTGGTTTGTGCGTACATGCGTGTGTGTGCGTGCGTGCCTGCGTGCGTGCGTGTGTGTGCTTGCATGCGTGCGTGTGTGTGTGTGTGTTTGTGCGTGCATGCACACGCGTATATATATATATACATACATACATATACATATAATGACATCACCACGTATAAATCGTCGCGGGAACATCAATACTAACAAGAGCTTCACTCGCTAGCCGGTAGCTAGTCGCAGAGTATGCTATAGTAGCTAGTAGGCTAGTAGCTACTATGCTAGTAGCTAGTATGCTAGTATGCTAGTATGCCAGTGGCTAGTAGCTAGTATGCTAGTAGCTAGTGTGCTAGTATGCTAGTAGCTAGTGTGCTAGTATGCTAGTATGCTAGTAGCTATAGTATGCTAGTAGCTAGTATGCTAGTATGCTAGTAGCTAGTATGCTAGTATGCTAGTATGCTAGTAGCTAGTATGCTAGTATGCTAGTATGCTAGTATGCTAGTATGCTAGTATGCTAGTAGCTAGTCTCTATATACGGATCTGGCTAGTCGGCGACCGTCGCGCCACCGCCGCCGCACACCGGAGCCGCGAACCCTAATTTTTATTGCCTGAAGAAGATGGCGGCGGCGATGATGAGCAGCACCAGCACCTGCACGAAGAGGACGCCGACGATGAGGCCGTCGATGACCCTGTAGGAGGACTCGAACGCCCGCAGCGCGCAGAATACGTCGTCGTAGCTGCAGTCGATCTTCGGCCTGTAACATATGATTTACATATGTTACATAAATTAATTAGAGACGCGGAATGCGGCTAGACTCGGGGTTGTTTTAGTGGTAGTCTATGTAGACAGAGCGTCGCGCATCTTGTGCGGCTAGATTGATGTTATAAGGAAAATGGTAAACGTGTTTTAGGTCGGGCGTTTCTATAGGGTCATTGTGAAATGGGGGTAGGACGCGGTCTAGGAGAACAGGTGACATGTGCGCTCAGGATGTAGGGGTTTTGGGGGTAATATATAGGAGGTTAGGAAAGATTGGGGGGAGAGATGTAGAGTGGGGGTCTGGTTGTGGTCGCGAGTGGAAGCACAC